CTAGGTCGACACATCTAAGACAAGGTGGGCGAAAACGTTGGATCTGTCGCTTGACTAAAAGCTCGAACGCCACCTCAGGAACAAACAACCCGGGACTCGCACCTGATGCATTCTGGGTAGCGGTCAAGATGGCTCCTTTAGACAACCCAGATAGTGCGTCTATCGTCCGCAGCGCTTTGGCGAGACTCTCTTGAAACACGTAATTGATTCTTGCCCCTCCAGACAGCTCAGTGGTCTGAATGTTCTCCGTGTCCCCTTTGATGATGGAACAATACGTTTTAGAAAATTTCGACATGATGTCAATCAACAACGAAGGCTTGTCCAAACTCACATCCCCCAAAGCTCTGAGTTCTTCTTGTTTCTTTGACAACTTTTCTTTGACGTTCTCTTTTAGATTTGGCAAACAACTTTTTATGTGTTCAGTTAATATTTTCTGAACAGACTTCGTTAAGTACGGTATTCCTTGTGTGCGTGCAATCGATTTGTAATGTTTGTGGAAAAAATCTGCTTCTTCTTTCAACGCCTTTTTCATAGATTTGTTCTCCATTATGTCTCGTTGTGATCGGTTGACGACACCGATTATGCCCAGTTTGACCGGTATGATCTTCCCAGACAGGATGTCCCACGCGTCTGTGCCTAAGTCCATGAGGTCCAGCTTGGTGATGACCGCCAGAGTCCTCTCACCTTCAGGATCCACGTCACGAGCCAACGCTAGACTCTCGCTCGTCGTCAGGTCCGCATTCGCAGGAGTCACTGCTAGGATGATACTATTTGGGTTCCTAATGTATTCAAGCACCATGTCCCTGGTTTGTTTTTCAATATCTTCTGGTTGGTCACCGACAGCAATTTTCGTCAACCCGGGAAGATCTACCAATGTGAGATTTAAATATGAGTTTGAATATACCTTCAGTGTGATTGGAACATGACAAATTCCTTTATTGCTTCCAGCGAGCTTGACAGTCTGTTCTTGTATTTCTTTAGAAATCAGGTCGAAGTCCGTGAAGACTTTCGTCTGGTCGTGTTGGAAGATGGCGTATTCCTCAACGACATCATTGGACGAATGCACTAGCTGAAGGACAAGAGGACATCTAGTCACTACACCGACTCCTCTGGGTAGGAAGGACTTTCCCACTAGATGTTCCAGGACGGAGCTCTTCCCTGCACTCTGAGAGCCTACCACGACCACCTGCGGCAGGTCGACGACTTGACCACTGACCAGAAACACGTCCTGTAGCTGGTTCACGATCTCCACTAGTTCGTTCATTATGACTACTTCAAATTAGTTTAAATGTAAAATAAAAAGCTACAAGCTAGGCCTATCTCTTACAAACACAGAACCCTGATCTTAACAGATATAGTGTTCTACTCAACAATAAGGTGTCATGCGTTCGTAGTTTCTATTTTATCTAAGACTTTAATATCAATACAATCACTACTACAATGGTTTAATTTCACAGGTCATAAAAGTTTCCAGTTTTATGGGTTATTGTTACTATTGTTTGACGTTTACGTCCCTTGCGATATTTAAAACTCGTGACATCTTTAGGTCGATTTGATTTAGCACCATGCAAATGATAAATTCTATTATTTCATTCAAGTTAAATTAGAATCGTAATTGAGTTTTATATTATTTTACTATACAGTAAAATCTGTTTCACTTATTTTCAAAGATTCTTTGTAACATCGAGTTTTGAATACCTATGGTATGATCATGATTTATTTCCTACGAAATACAACACTGCGAATCCTTTCATAGTAAGTATTAAATTAATGGATTTGACTTTTTACGTTTAATCCAAAAAGTGCTTCTACAGGGTGAATAAAAAGTCAAGACCACCCCTCTAATATTTTTCTAAGTAAATATACAGAGATATCCTTTTGGTGGTAGTGCAATCTTAGCAGGCAGTTTTATTTTATGATTTTGAAATTTTTGAATGTCCCCCAAAAAAGGGGAATTTTGGGGACAACTCAAAAATTTTAAAATGTAAACCACCTTCAAGTGACACCTACAAAAACTTAAGGAATGGGGAAAACTAGAATTCGCTATCTCATCTCTATCCAAAATGTTAGCCCCTCAAAGGTTTAATGATGTTACTTTTAAATAAATTTTCTTGTGTAATAAAAAATAGTTTCCTTCGCTCTAATTTGTTCCAAAGTAAATATTTCAGAGTTATCCTTTTAGTGGTCGTGCAACCTTAGCAGGAGGTTTCATTTATGATTTTGAAATTTTTGAGTGTCCACCAAAAATTGGGGATTTTGGGGGCACCTCAAAATTTTTAAATGTAAAGCCCCATCAGGTGACACCTCATTCTAAAATGTTTACACAAACTTAATGAACGGTGAAAACGAGGGATCTCTTCTCTGTCCAAAATGGTAGCCAATATTACCATTACAAACCAATATTACCATTGATTTTCCATAATATTTGACGGGCTACCATTTTGGATAGAGATGAGATAGCAAACTCTAGTTTTCACCATTCTTTAAGTTTTTATAAACACTTTAAAATGGGGTGTCACTTGAAGGGGGTTTACATTTAAAATGTTTGAGTTGCCCCCAAAATCCTCTCTTTTTGGGGGACGTTCAAAAATTTCAAAGTCATAAAATGAAACTTCTTGCTCACATAGCACTACCACCAAAAGGTAATCTCTGTGTATTTACTTAGAAAAATATTAGAGGGAGGTGTCTTGACTTTTTATTTACCCTGTATACACCTGCTTCGCAACGGGAGTACAAGAAGGAGAGAATGCTTTCCTTTAGATCCGCTGTATGATGATCATTTACTCATATCACTTTAGACCACATTTACTTAAGAAACAAGAAACACGTACTTTCCTATTAGTGTATTAAAATTCTTTTCCCTTAAATTCAGTAAAGGAGGTTCAAATTCTCTAGGCAATCAAGTACAGTACATAGGTCGCGCTGATGAGTGTTAAGAAATATGTAGTAGGCCCTGCTTTATTTTTTTTTAAATAAACTTATTCAAAAGTATAGATCTACTAACTTCTAAACACCCACTTATATTTGAAGACAATATTTCCAAAAAATCTAACAATATACCGTAGCATAAAATAAATTACGTGATATATTTGATAGGTACAATAAAAAAGCGAATTCTTGAACCTTAGGCAAGCCCAAAGGAGAAACTTGCAGAGAAACTGATTCCTGTATCTTATATTTATATAAGCTTTGCTTTAAAGAAACTAAGAGAAAATGGCTACAACACTTTTACTACCTTTCATTAACTCATAACCGTCTTGCTAAAGAAACATACACACATTTTCACAATGTAAATCAAGCATCATCAAAAATCCTTTCAAGTAACATAGTGTAAACTTTAAATCATGTAGGGCCTATTTGGAAATCGGTCTGTGAGGCCCTTCCCTTTGGGAACTCGTTCATACCAATACTTTTAGGCAAAACTACAAGCTCTAAGCTTAATAAATTTTGATATGTCATTTGCCTATATTAGGCATATTATTTGGTTACTGGCCTTAAACCGTTTACCTAAAATTTGATTGCATCTCTTAAATAATAAAATAGATACTTAGTAACTCCAAGAGGAGAACTACTTACTGAGCTATAACAGAAATTGATTTACATTATGTCTCTTTAGGTTTTCCAACCTACTGGCCAACTGAACGAAACAAAATACCGGACCTTTGGACATTATTGTTAAAGGCATGCCATTGAACTACAGTACACGAATATTGAATCTTCACTCGATCTCTCTTCAGACCACTTCCTATAATCATGATTTACAGTGCTAGTGTATGCTTAAAAGGAAAAAATCCGTCGTTGTAGAATAACAATACAGGCACTAAATCATGCAGCTAAGAATTTAATGGTGTTTAGTGGAACTGAAAAATATATGGTTTGACGATTGTACAACAAATCTAACCCCACCCATTGGAAGGCTACTAAATATTACAAACGTTCAGTTTAACATCTACTGTACCTCCAATTCGGAAACTTGATGGGTCCTGGGCTAAGTAGAAAACGCAAGATTTTTGCAGATTACTTTTCTGATGTTCTGATGTAGGTATTCGAGCATATTATTCCGAATCCACCAAATGACGAAGGTGAAATTCACGATTTTTTGGAGACACCGAATCAGCTATCTCTACTTAAGTTATCAACTCTTGCACTTCTTCAGAGGTTTCAAGAATAGTTTTAAAAGAAATTAGGCCCATGAAAAGTTCTTGATTCGATCTCATCATTGGTAAAATTCAGAGAACTGCCCCAAAAAGGTCTTCTGTTGTAGAGAATTATTGAAATGTTACGATTGCAATATTTTCTCGTTCAACTGAAAATTGCACAAAATATTAGTTACCCCGAAACCAGGCAAACCACCTAATGACGCATCTTCTTACAGACCAATAAGCTTGCTTCCTAAAGTAACAAAATTTTTTGTAAAGGTAATACTCAAAAGGTTAACCTACACTGTAGATGATTTAAATTTAATGGGTGATCATCAGTTCGGCTTCACAAATAACATTCTACCATTCAACAAACTCACAAATTAGTGCATATTAAAAAAAAAATACTGTTTTGCAGCACTTTTGGATGACAACAGGTTTTTGTCAAGGTGTGGCAGGGCTAGAGGTGTATATCTGTAGCCCTGAAGGTGTGGCATGTTAAACTTGTGTTTAAACTGAAAACGACTCTCCCTCACGCTTTGTATAACCTTCTGAAATCATATCTGGCCAATCGATAAAAAACATTCTTTGTCTGAACTGAAATTATTGAAATAGATTTTATTGAAAATCAAATCAGGCAAAAAGAAAATAGGTTAGTTTGCAGGTTTGCTGTGGCGGAGTTATTTTATAATTAATCATTTTGTAACAGATACAATATTTTGTTTTTTAACTTAGATTTCGTGAGCGAAGCCACGACGGGTTTCGCTAAATTAATTATATTATAACATAGGGATCAATTGTACAAATAACAGTCAAGTAATTTAAAAAAAAACTATTTATTATTTATTTAAAAATCACCTGTACTTATGGTTTATACAACATTGAAATTAACAAAGAACCTAACTGGAAAGAAACTAAGCTCAACACTCAAGCTATAACACTGAATGTAAAAAAATGTTCATTTTCAAATGAGAGCACATTTTGTGCTTTCTGGTTTTGTCACAGCACTGCAATCGAATACGGACGATTTTGTGCTCGGTTTGATAGAGGTCAAAATCCCATAGGCCTTCTCTAGCTGAGCAACGACGGTTTCAAGATCCTGGCGCTTCTCCACGAAATCCTGCGATTCCTTCATCAGGCTGTCAGTGTTGCTGTACAGTCGATATATCAACTCGCTGTGGAGACGCTCGACCACAAAGTTGACAATTGAATGCATGATGATCTTCGGAACTGTGTCTTGAACAGTGACCTGGACGATAGAAAAATAGCTTTTAATCAATTTTTGAATTAGTTCATAATCCCGATTTTCTTTCGAGATTTCTTCTTTTTTCTCACAACTTTCCGATGTTTCTGTAAAACTTTGCGCCGAGAGTTTTACCACGGGTTTACGTGCGATGCAGTTCTCTTCTTCAAAATCTGTTGACACTTTCACACTCACACGGTTAGTGAAAAAGTGCGGATGTCTTGTGTTTATGTAGGCCAACTGGACGTCTATGAAGCTGTCTACCATTTGATTAGCGATGGGAAGTCTGCTGCGGAGAAGTTCGGTGACGACACGGATGACTTCTCTCTGCAGTGTTGGGTACCTTTCAAGTCCGATCAAGGGATCATAGGCACAAGTCTGCACGATTCTACTGAGCTCTTCGTTGACAAGGTCGACACATCTAAGACAGGGTGGGCGAAAACGTTGGATCTGTCGCTTGACTAACAGCTCGAACGCCACTTCAGGAACAAACAACCCAGGACTCGCACCTGATGCATTCTGGGTAGCGGTCAAGATGGCTTCTTTAGACAACCCAGATAGTGCGTCTATCGTCCGCAGCGCTTTGGCGAGACTCTCTTGAAACACGTAATTGATTCTTGCCCCTCCAGACAGCTCAGTGGTCTGAATGTTCTCCGTGTCACCTTTAATAATGGAACAATACGTTTTTGAAAATTTCGACATTATGTCAATCAACAACGAAGGCTTGTCTAAACTCACATCCCCCAAAGCTCTGAGCTCTTCTTGTTTCTTTGACAACTTTTCTTTGACGTTATCTTTTAGTTTCGGTAAACAACTTTTTATGTGTTCGGTTAAGATTTTCTGCACAGTCTTCGTCAAGTAGGGGATACCGTGGGTACGTGCAATCGATTTGTACTGATTGTTGAAAAAATCTGCTTCTTCTTTCAACGCCTTTTTCATGGGTTTGTTCTCCATTATGTCTCGTTGTGATCGGTTGACGACGCCGATTATGCCCAGTTTGACCGGTATGATCTTCCCAGACAGGATGTCCCACGCGTCTGTGCCTTCGTCCATGAGGTCGAGCTTGGTGATAACCGCCAGAGTCCTCTCACCTTCAGGATCTACGTCACGAGCCAACGCTAGACTCTCGCTCGTCGTCAGGTCCGCATTTGCAGGAGTTACTGCTAGGATGATACTATTTGGGTTCCTAATGTATTCAAGCACCATGTCCCTGGTTTGTTTTTCAATATCTTCTGGCTGGTCACCGACAGGAATTTTCGTCAACCCGGGAAGATCAACCAATGTGAGATTTAAGTAGGAATTTGAGTAAACTTTTAGTGTGATTGGAACATGACAGATTCCTTTATTGCTTCCTGCGAGCTTCACAGTCTGCTCTTGTATTTCTTTAGAAATCAGGTCGAAGTCCGTGAAGACCTTCGTCTGGTCGTGTTGGAAGATGGCGTATTCCTCAACGACATCATTGGACGAGTGGACAAGCTGAAGGACAAGAGGACATCTAGTCACTACACCGACTCCTCTGGGTAGGAAGGACTTTCCCACTAGATGTTCCAGGACGGAGCTCTTCCCTGCACTCTGAGAGCCTACCACGACCACCTGCGGCAGGTCGACGACTTGACCACTGACCAGAAACACGTCCTGTAGCTGGTTCACGATCTCCACTAGTTCGTCCATTATGACTATTTAAATCTATTTTAAGTGTTAAAAATGTCCCAACCGTTCACTTACAAACGCAGAACAAGATTGTAAACAGTATAATTTAGTTTTACTCAACAATAAGGTGTCATGTGTTCTTCGTTTCTGTTTACTAAGTTTTGTTAATATAAATTCTTTGTAGTTAGGGACAGGATTAGAGGAAAGGCATAATAAATATATATTGCAAGTATAATCGCATAATCAATGCTTACTATGTTGGTACAATTCATTGAATAGAGATAAGGTTATACATCACTAACGTTATATCACAAACGTTATTAATAATTTGTGTCGTAAATTAACTATAGCACTTTTGTATAGTGTAATAAACCATTTTCCGTTTTGGATCAATTTAAGAATGTCAATATTCTAATAAGATTCGGTGTATTTTACATGCAATTTGTTACTTCCCAACCCATTGTAAATTTTGAAGCTAGTTTTTCCTGTCTAGTTCATGTCCGGTGACACTAATCGCTAGTGTCGACAAAATGTTGTTTCTATTATTAATTTCACGATTTGTGCTTTAATGCTTTGTTATACAACTAGGAGACGAGTTATTTTTTATGATTAGATCGTTTTATTAGGTTAAACGATGTTTTAAATTACTAAAATAACAAGAAACAAATTGTAAACCAAACACGACCTCTACAGTGCACCGGATAGAACTAACAATAAAATTGGGTTCACCTGTTTCATAAGTTTAAAAAGTGTGTAGATTTTACTGTTCAGGCGAATAAATTTAGGACCACTTCGGCTGTCAGTTCAATCCTGAAAAAATGATTATCTTTCTGATGCCTTAAAAATGCTCCAACTAACTTACCCTGATATTGGTTATTTTGGACTATTAATAAATGACCCTGGTTAAAGGAACGGATTATCTTTGTCATTTAAGAAAGCTTCGTACAGCTGATTGGTAAACCACGCTCACTTTCCTCTCAAATTTGGGCATTTGACCTATAGGCTACACCTCATAGCTGTACCCCCATCTCATAAGTGCGCTTCATCCAATATTAACCACCGTTCCTTGCGTGTGCTGAACAAATGCTTGTAAAACAAACGAATAGCAGAAAATATTTACCCTGATCTTTTATCACCCAGACCTTTTGACACCAACAGTTTACTGAAAGTGAAAACATGTGTCCGCACGGAGGACACTGACCGAGATGACTGGTGATATGGGGCGACTAAAGAAAGTAGTCAAGGTTAGGAAAGCTTGTGAGATCGTGGATTTCACATCTCCACACATGGACCACTCCTCGTATGGAAGTGGAAGTCGTCTGCACTGCTGTCGAAGTATCATGCTACACGTGTCGAATATGCATAATAGCCCAAAAAGAGCTGTACCTTCTAAAAATTGGGGGAAAGCTGGAAATAGTTTTAATCTGATGTGGAGTTTAATCTGTTTCTAAATAAGATAACAATGAGTTTGCGAAGGATTCTGAAGTGAGCCAAGTGTGAGGCAAAAACTAGGCCGATTTTGCTCATTTTTTTAGTTTTTCGCTTACTACTAACAAACAGTGGATCCCACAAAAAGTGTTAGGGTAATTTTCTAAAGATCATTAAATTCCTAGTCAAATGACGTTAAAATAATTAAAATCGGTTCAGTCGTTCTGCTGCAACTAATCATGTCGTCAGGTCGTCAAAGTTCAGTAATATTTACCAAAAACTATAGCATACACTCCCACCTGGTGGAACATGCTGTAATCATCAAGAATATGATGACAAGGAGAATGTTAAAATTACTGAACTTAACATTTTTGACTTATTTATGATCTCCTGAGCAGATTAAACTAAACTATTTCTAGCTTTCCCCCAATGTTTAGGAGCTACACGTTCAATTTGCCTAGGATATAGATTATGTTTACCATGGATATGTTTACCAACAGAACGGCATGGATCGTAAGCATATACAAATGACGTAACTGGTCTGACTCCTATCCTATTTGGAAGTTTTTGACAGTTTAATTTAAAGGTATGTTATATTTATAGTAAGATTGACTGTAATATTGATTTAAAAAACTGTAATGTTTGTTCATGCTCATCTATGCCTTCCAGGGGCCCATTTCATAATAAACTACAAGTTACAAGTTACAACTTGTAACTTGTAATTTCCATTAGATTTGCATTGGGCGATCAGCTGATTTACTAATAATATTAGTTTGTACTTTATTATGAAATGGACCCCTGATGGATTCACCTCATATTTGTAATAGCCACTCGCCGCCACTTTTTATATCATTACTAATAATCCAATCGGTTCAGAATCGGAAATTTAAGAAAATTACCTATATTAGAACAGATAACGCTATGTATCATGGACATAAACAATTTACGTTATTGCCCCAGAAAAACAAAATGCATTACTAAAATGAAACTATATTTTGACAGTCAAAATTTAAAACCGTATGGTCACAGACAAGGGAAACAAAGAAAAAACTTTTGTTTCCTTAGTCAATGGTATGGTTATCGTTTTACATTCAGGCCAACAACGTCATTTGTTTGTGTTTATGATCCATACCATTGTCTGTTCTAATATCCGTGAAGAAAAGGATTATGTTCTTTGGATCAATCATAATACAAAAAAGCACGAATACGACTCCGATCATTCAATGTTGTAGACAATTCTGGGGGTCCAGAGTAGTCGCACCTAGAACCACAGAGGTGTGTGTTCAGACTTTTCGTGTGGAACACCGAAGTGCTTTTGCATGACAATGCGGCATTTTGTACGTCAGAAGGCCGGCCAAATACGGCTTTGCATATAAGGCAGGCGCGGTAACTTACGTAATGTGCCGGGCCCACTCGTGCCTGCCTACTACGTTACAGACCAGTCCGCCTACCGTGGACGATGACTGGTGTTTACAAACAACCGGCGACTCCTTCCGATTCTCGTGAATCGGAAATTGTGACGTGTTTAATGAGTAATTAGGCTTATTTAAGAACGTGTGTTTGAACACAGCTAGCCAATACTTACTTAATACTTCGGATCCCTACCTTAATTAAACACGTCGATAAAACTTCAAGAATAATTGAATAATTGAAAGAAAGTAAATCAGTGTACAAATAATAACATGCGTGTGTTGTGTTCTATCGGTATTGCCTACATGCGTCAATAGTATACTAAGAAACTCCAGAGTATCCTACATAATGACTAAGAAACAGCTACACTGGTCTTAGTGACTGGGACGGGTGGCGTCGTTCTGTAATCCAGCTACTAGGAGGTCACGAATTGTGGATATTTATAGGCATGCACTGTGGATGCGATGCTCCCTGGTGTGGATTAACGTCCGCACTAGTGTGTACTACGATTATCAGGAGTACTATCCTGATAATTCGACCAATTCGTTAATCACAAGGAAAAAATGTGGTTCGGATCGGATTCCACCATAAACTGTAGGTCCCTTAGTTGCAAATTACCTGTATGGGCTATTAATTTACAGCTATGTCTAAGCACTATTTGTCTATGGTCTAAGGAACATGTCGACCTTAGTCACTAACAAGACTACAATATCGCGCCACTCATCCTACACTCATCCTTCACCTGGGTTAAAATACGCACATAGTGGCGTCCCCATCTTAAATAATTGATAGTTGAACAAAGCTACATAGATCATCTCACTCCATCATACACTCACCCCTCATTAATTCAGCTTAAAATACGCTTCAGAATAATGCGTCGCTGTCTTAAAAAAATGAATTAACGCTTAGCCTTCGATACACTTTAGTAGACAGTCCACTCACTGACCATAATACGTTATCTATGATAATACGTAGTTTCATTCACAAATAATTAATACGCTACATGAAACTTTGTCGGTTGAACTCCTCCGCCATTTCTTAACCGATTTTATCCATTGCCGTCTCATTGGAAAGAGCGTGTCGCGTAGATTTGCAAACTGGCCTTACATTTTTGAAAAAGTCCCTTGGGCTCTGCCCCAGTGGCTTTTAAAGTTCCCATGTTATCCTTATGAAGAACATAATTGTTTACATTTTGATCAGCTGTATAATTTAACTGCTGTTATTTATTTTTCAATTCAATGAAACACATTGAGTACGTTTATTTACTATTTGAGTTTGTTTAAACATAACCCCCAAGACGGATCGTGTTAGTATGGTTGTATCTTAAATTTGTGTATTTATCGTTGTTTTGTGTCGCTAAGACGGATCGTGTTAGCATGATTGTAACTTAAATTTGTTCATTTATCGTTGTTTTGTGTAGCTATAATTTGTTTATTTGTTGTTGTTTTTTTCTTTTAAATGCCTCCGACACGTGACGACAACGAAACATAGACAGGAGGCGTAATCGTGATGACGACCGCAGCTACAGAACAGTGGCGCGTAATAGGTTTAGTAGTATGTTTTCTGTGGTTTAACTCAACATAGTCAGCACCTGACCCTGGCCCAACACTACCCCAAAACGACTTTTCGTTCTCAATTGGCCCTCTATCAATGACCTGTGTTGCCTGTACAGCGAGGTATTTTGAGAAGGAGAAAACCGGCCGGAATGTTTTAGGTTTATCAATAACGAAGATAAACATGGTCTGAGTTAGCCTACACACCGGTGATCTTTGAGTTGACTCTTTAAATCTCATTGTAAATATGACTGTTATTCGTTTTGGAATAAATCCTGTAACACTTTGCAATTGCTCGAATTCGAGCAACATGTACACTAGTTCACAATTAATTCTATCTATACGTTCTGTCATAAGGTAACCAACTCCTGGTTCAGGATACAAGAACACGGACGGAAACGGAAGTGCGAGTCGATCACAGACACAGCCCCGTTAATTGCACCGTTACAACGAACGGGACAAGACTATATCAAGGTGTCTCTGGACATGTGGACACATAGCTTCGGGGTCTGTAGTCTGCAGGACAGAAATATACCTTACCGTTGACACAGATAACGTGGAGTTTCTATGTCAATTATAGCTAAAATGAGCAATAAACCTACAGGATGTACCTATTTGTAGGGAAATTATCGCTAAAGCTCACTGTGTATCTGTTATCTGACATTCAAGTGTTTAACCGCATTTGAAACGTTTATTGAAACTACCTCTGTT